ATCATCTTGCCGCTACCCGTCAACTTCTCCGCAGTATCCCAGCTGCGCGACGTAAACAGGATCTTGCTGTTGTTTGCTTTGGGCAGATACGATGCTACTAGCATTTCATTATTGTCCTTGGAGAATAGCATATCAACGTCATCTGCATTATCGAGAACCATGAGCCACGGGCTCACGTCCTGTCGCTGTAGCCAGTCCCGGACCAGCGCTAAGAGTAAATTGCGCCATCGAACAAAGCAGTAACGAGCATATCCGCAAGCTCAAGACCGTGTCCGCCAATCAACTCAAGAGCGGCGACCTGAGCGTCAAGACAGCGACGACGAAAGACATGGAGACACTCCAACAGTTTGCCGAGGACTGGGAAAACCACATCGGCAACGGTGCCGCGGTGCGAATCCCAACCTACGGAGTGCTAGCGCACGGCATAAGAACCAGCTCGATGAACATGGATCACTTCACAGAAATCAGAGACGACCTACTACAGGACAACAAAGCATTCATCCCCAGAGAAGACATTAAGTACGTAGGCTGGCTGACCCAGTCAGCCAGCAAGAAGACGGCATCATCAGTGGTTGTGGAGCTCTCAAGGGCAGAAGACGCCAAGAAACTCATTGACGAGGGACTCATCTGGCAAGGCCAGGTGTTCCAATGCGAACGATATGACAGACAGTGCCGTCTGAGGCAGTGTTAAAAGTGCTGCGCATACGGCCACATAGGAACCCAGTGCAAGGCAACGACAACATGCGGCTACTGTGCGCAAGAACACGCGACCCGAGATTGCCCCCCGAAAAGCGACACAACGACCCCAAGGAAATGCGCCGCATGCTACGGCGAAAACGAGGCATGGCACGGCGGATGCCCCACCAGGATCCGCGAGAAGGCCAAGATCAAGGCCGCCTACGGCCAACGGTCGAGGTACCACCCGGAACAGACGGCCCCACACCCGGCCCTAGGACCGGAACCCCGGATCAGGCCTAACCCGAGGACCACACGGCCGACGCTGGAACCAGGACAATCCCAGGAGAATCGTCCGAGCCGGAGCCGGTCCCCAACGAAGAAGATCCAGAAAAGGCCTAACCCGACAGCGACCCAGGAATCGGAAGAGACGATTACTGTAGCTGCAGAGAATACGCGTCCGAGACGCACAATCATCCGATCGCGAAGAGCGCTCGAGGCGCTCGACCCCAACACGCAGATGACAGACACGCAGACGATAGCGAATGAACGCACAACACACACTCACAATACTACAGTACAACGTAAGAAAATCGAAGGATACCGTCATGGCGACACTTCTCCGTGACCCGAACATCGATAAGTACGACATCATTGCTATTCAGGAACCGTGGAGGAACCCCTACAGCGCAACGACACACCATCCGGCCAAGGACCGGTTCCACCTGTGCTACCCTTCCAGCGAGGAAAATGGCCCAGCCAGGGTCTGCTTCTTCATCAACAAGAAGCTCGACCACTCTCGTTGGCAGTTTAGGGAGGTCAGCAGAGACCTCTGCACTCTGGTTATCGCAACAGATGACGATGCCGAAACAAGCCTAGTGCTACATAATGTGTACAACCCGTCACCGCGGGAGGAAGATCGACAACCGGTCCTACAACAGCTACGAACAACACTGGAAACACATCGGCACGTCGAGCAAATCGTCGTCGGTGACTTCAACCTACACCATGAGCTGTGGGGAGGCAGCGATATCCGAGCGCCGGACCGCGAAGCAACCGAGCTCTTAGATCTAATGGGCGACATGAACCTCACGAGTCAACTGAGAGCGGGAACCATAACGTACGAAGAAGGAGATCACCGGACAACTATCGACCTCTGTCTCGTAACCGTAGGTCTCGTTGACCGGATGATCAGATGCGAAGTAGATCATTACATCGACCATGACTCCGATCATCTACCCATAGCGACGTCCCTGAACCTAGCAGTGACCGAGCTACGGCGAGAGGAGAAACGGAAGTGGAAAGCTGTTGATAAGGAAATGTTTATCGAGACGCTCCGTGGATCGCTGCCGGAAATTAAGAAACCTAACACGTCTCAGGTCGCCACAACGCCTGAGGAGAAAGCAGCACTCTTCAAGGAGACCTTCTTCCCCCCGCCGCCAGAGGCAAACCTCGAAGACATCGAGAACACATCGTACAGCAACCAGATTGGCCTGCCGCCAGTATCGGAAAGCGAAGTAGAAGACGCCATCCAGGAAGCAGCACCGCTGAAGGCCCCGGGCCCCGACGGCATCACTAACCTGGCACTCCAAGTGGCGAGACCATGGATCACGTCACATCTCGCCCGCATATTCAACCAGAGTCTCCGGTTAGGATATTGTCCCCAACACTTCAGAAAGTCCACCACGGTGGTACTCAGGAAGCCAGGCAAAGACAACTACACAGTGCCCAAAGCATACAGGCCGATAGCCCTCCTCAACACGGTAGGCAAGATCATGGATGCCATCATAGCGAGGAGACTGAGCTACCTTGCCGAAACACATGGATTGCTGCCAGATGGCCACATGGGCGGGAGAAGATGTCGGTCGACGGAACACGCACTGCATCAAATCGTAGATAAGATATACGAAGCCTGGGGTTCAGGGACGGGGATGGTAGCAAGCCTACTTCTCCTGGACGTGTCAGGCGCCTTCGATAACGTTTCGCACCGCGGACTCCTACACAACCTGCGGAGAAGGCGGATCGACGAAGCGACGGTGCGGTGGATTGCCAGCTTCCTAGGATGCCGGGAGACGGAGATCCACGTGGACGGATTCCGATCCGAAACCTACAGACTCGACACTGGCATCCCTCAAGGGTCGCCCCTTTCGCCGATACTCTACCTCTTCTACAACGCGGATCTCCTGGACAGCTGCAATGAGACCGGAGATACGACAGCCACCGGTTTCATCGATGACGTAGCAATCCTAGCCGTAGGACACAGCACTGAGGAAACCTGCCGGAAGCTCCAAGAAGCGCTCCGGAAAGCCGAGACATGGGCCTCCACTCACGCCTCCGTCTTCGCGCCCGAAAAGTTCCAGCTTACCCACTTCACACGAGCAAAAACCAGAATCGACACAGACAAAACACTCCACAGCCCGTGGGGAGAAATCGAGCCAAAGACAACCTGTAAATACCTCGGCCTCATCATGGACTCGGCCCTCAAGTGGAAACAACACATCGACGAGACAGAACGTAAGGTCACGAACACCATCACAGCACTCAGCAGTCTAGGCAGCTCCACGTGGGGCGTGATGACGAGAGAGATGAGGACGATTTATAAGGGAGTCGCAATACCACAGATGATGTACGCATGCTCGCTGTGGTCCAACAGCGGTTGGGGGGAGATGGGCTACACGAAAAGGACATTAAACAGACTGCAGAGGCTCCAAGCCAGAGCGGCCAGGGCAATGTGCGGAGCATACAGAGCAACCTCGCTCCCAGCACTAGATGTGGAAATGCATCTTCTGCCAGTCGAACAACAGTTTGGAAACACAACATCGACACCATCAACAGAGTAGGCATGGCCGAAGCCCTCCCGCGGGGAGGGAAGAGAATGAGTCCGAGACAGAAAGTAACGAAACGACTGAACGATGGACAAGGGCCAATCAGCGAACAACACGAGCACATACCTACCTTCATCACTCCCCCGTGGTGGCAAGGACCGCGTATCCACATCGCCGGAAGCACGAAGCAGGCCGAAAAAGAACACGAACGTTGTCTGGAAAAGAACACCGACGCAGCCCACATCTATACAGACGGCAGCGGCATCGACGGTCAGATCGGAGCGGCAGCAGTCTGCACAACCACACAGCAAACCAGGAAATCTCACATGGGGACGACACGACATCGACAGTCTACGCGGGAGAGCTGCAGGGCATCGTTCTGGCCCTCGAGATGGCGCGGGCAGACAAGGAAGGCGGAAACTCCCGAAGCAAAATCTTCATACACACCGACAATCAGGCCGCCATCAGATCGTCAGCCAAACCAAAGGGGAAATCCGGCGCGTACCTCCTCAAGATCATCGCAGAAAAGACACAAGCCCTCCGAGAAGAGGGACTCGAAGTCGAGCTCCGATGGGTACCTGCCCACATCGGCATCCAGGGCAACGAAGCAGCAGACATCGCAGCCAAGGAGGCGACGGGATGGAGGCCAGACGGACAGACAGGTTCCAGGGCAGACAAGCCGAGAGCCCTGTTCAAACTCAGGTCGACAGTCAAGACATGGTCGCATAAACAGTCCCACCACGCGTGGCGAACCAATTGGGAAACCGAGACGCGAGGGAGAACATCGTTCCGTCTCACACCGAAGCCGACGAAGAAAGTCCTCGAACTCCACGAAGGCCTCAGTAAACGCCAAAGCGCACTCCTAGTCCAGATGCGCACAGAAAAGATCGGGCTCCAGGATTTCCTCTTCAACCGTAGAGTACCGGGCATCACCAACGCCAACTGCCCATGCCGGGAAGGACGACAAACGGTATCGCACATCCTGCTGCGATGCCGCAGGTTTCGAAACTCCGGCGCCAGGAATTCGGAACCCTCCCAGGACGACACAATCTCCGGGTCATACTGAACAAGCGCAAAGCAGCCGCCAAGGCAATCCGATTCATAGAACAGACCGAGATCCTTGGGCAACACGGGTCGAGTCACACACCAGACTAAGCTGAACATTGGGGGGAGACTGTAGGTACGCTGAACCGCTGCACGAGGAGAAAGACCTCAATGGAGCCTAGACATACGTGTACATTAGTAGAGAACCGCGAACTACACGAGGTGGCAGCCGAATGTAGATAGAGGTTGGAGAGCAAAGTGGGAGATTTGGAGACAGCTGGTCAGTGTTTTGCATTGGCGAAGTGGGGCGCTGCGGATTAACATCCGGAGCGCGTCGGCTGTTGGCCAAACCCCGCTATCCGGGCATAGCTGCTGACTAAAGCGGCCAAAACCGAGTAGGAATCAATCAAATCATCAAATCAAATCAGCCCCTCCCACTTCTCCAATCAAGCACCTTCGAGTAACAACATTTGCATCCAGTCTGCTTACGCCTCTCTACCACGTTTCAGATAAATCTTTAATACTCTGTACCATGTGTACACAAAACTGGAATCGCTATAGCTGCCGCCACTTGATATTTGCCGGTTGGAGTGAGTGCGACGAAAGAGGGTTTGACCATTGTCCAAACCTCGCCAACAACACTACGACAAAGGCTGTCAAATGTCCCGAGTGTTCATATGCCACACCCCCGGATTCTTCAGATTGATTTGACGGTAGGCCAATCCTGCGGTGGAATCCGACGTCATCGGCTAATGACTAATCTGTCTCAAGGTCAATGCACCCCCAACCTAACATTTTCGGAGCTACACTGCTATCCATCGGCTGGACAACGTCTCATCAATCACGGCCATGGCAAGACGAATCGTGGTAAGGTGTCAGTCGCACTCGATCCCCGGCACGCCAGTACAAAGGAAGGACGCAATGGCAAACTTGATATGCCAACACGAGTGGAATAGAAACTCGAACCAGGACGATTTTTTCACTTGCCTGGGTCGATACGACGCAGAAAACGTCAAGTGTTATTTTCTTCTGGACAGTGGCTCCGTCGGGTCCCATACTCCAGATGTCACGTTATACAAATGGGATGGAAAGAGGTTGTAAGCCGCCCTCAGAACCACATCAATCAGCCCATACTGACAACACCCTGCAGTGAGCCAAAACAAGTCTATCCCGCGGTCGCTCGGTACCTTGAACACATTCCATTTGGTGGAGAGGGAACAGGACAGGGTCTATCCGACGAGGAGTATCTTTCAAAGTACGGTCGAAAAGAGTTTGAGGGCATGGTCTTGCAAAGGTCCGAGCAAGAGCAGAGACGTCGGGTAGCTGGAGATTGTACCGCAAAGGTCGAAACGCTTCAGCAAGACGTGGAAACACTGTAGTAGCCACTTCGGGTCCAAAGTCCTCAAACGAGTTCTGACCAGAATGTTAGGCCACAGTCGAGAGCGACCAGTCGGTGGTAGGAACACAGGCCGGCGTGCCATGGATGAAGCAGCATGGAATACCTTGCGCTTCGAAGACCGTTGTAGGCAATGCTTGCATCTCGTCCTAGGTTGGGCTTGCCGGTGACCAGCTGCTTGATAGAGAAAGGCATGCGCCTCAACCTGTGCGCTTTTGGGAGTTGGCCGTCACCAACAATATCCATCATATTAGCGGTTTGTAAAGCGACACAAAGGAAGAGATGGATCCTGTAGTCTACTTCACCGAAAGCCCTACAAGCTGAGGAGCCATCCGAGGATTGACACAAATTTGAGTTAAAAGCACAGCTTCTCCATTGCCTTCTGGTCACTACCACGGTTCTCCGGGCCATCGGAAACCCTGAACTTATTAGGTCCTTCTCCTCATAGTAGACATGGCCCCCGGACCCGCGCGTTTGAATATCAACAGCTGGAAGGATATAGTCAGAGCAGGCAAGGCAACCAAAACCGGTAGGCCATTCGGTACGAGAATGACTCATCGTGTCGAAAAGAAGTACGACAATCAAGAGTAAGAGACGGAAGTGAATTCGTGTTTGGGCGCGGTCCTTGTGCTTCGCGTGATAACCCGTGATCCGCCAGCGGAGGCGGCGATGGTGTTGTCTCATGACACGTCGTGCTTTGTGGCTTGCTCTCGAATTTTTCGTGGTCAGAGCCCGCTCGCGGCCACGAGCAGGCCCTTTGGATGCGGAATCAATGCCGAGGATGACATTGTACCCAAAGCGACCTCTGCAAGCGCGAGCGGGCGTACTTTGATCAATTTGGTGCTGTTTTCAAAAATTTCGTTCTCGCTGCTGTTGGTGTTTTGAATGTCCCGATAGCATACATTGGCTGGCTCTATTGTGGTAGACCAGCTCCGCGCTACTCGGTCCATTCCAGTTCCGCTCGTCCCGTGCTGGCTGATTGACAAGGTATTCCTGTGGCTCGAGTGTGGCTCAGGTCGACATATATACATGGCATATGCCCCCCCAAATTTGTCCAGTGTTTCTTAGTTCGGGGGCAGCAAGGTAGAACACAGCTAATACTTGCCGTACTTGACAAGCGTTCTCAAAGACGTGAGGCAGAAAGAATTCTATGGAGCGAGCCAGGGGGAATGATTGAGTACGCTTCCAGGTTTCGAGCGCACGTTTGGTTCAGCCATGATCAGACTCGGTCGAGACACATGTTTTTCTCCCCCGTTTGCGACAGATTGTCACGGGATCGCGTGCTAGGGTGATGTCAAGTGTATCGTGACTTATGGCGAAGCTGTGGCCCCTTTTCTTGCAGCAACGCGCCGTTCGTTCAGCGCGATCTCTCTGTTTTCTTCTTCGCGTTGCGTCTTGTATCTAGAATTGACCCTACGGTTCATGGTTTACACACGGATTATCGCATGGAACTGGATTCCTCAGCGAAACGCAGCACACTTATGAGTATATACTATATGCTCCTCTTTCTGCACACATCTTCATTGGCTAGGGAGGCAAAAACTGCCGTAGTGTGCCTCTTCACACATCTTATGAGGGTTATCGATCTACAAACAAAATGTTGGGTCGAGTTGGCGCATGGAAAACGCCCGCAACGAGCCATTGACGGCCCTGCCTACAAGATCTTTCCCCTACTAATGCGCGAGGGCGTGTAGACAGTATGAAGGAGTCGGAAATACTATGTACTTCGTGGGACAAATCAAGAGAATCACTGTCTGTTCCAAAGACAAAGCAATATGTGCACAATACTATACTGTATGGTATATAGGCGACAAAATCAAAATCACTTGTTTCCAGTACGAGGCCATTCTCATTTTTGCTCCCCTTTAACTTCGATATATTTTGTGGTTGGTGAGCACTGTCTTTCCCGCTCGCCTCATCGCGTCGCAAACCGCGTCCGTTGGCGATGACGTAGACAGACTGTGCGTTTGAGCAGTACAGCACTGTGCACATACTGTACAAAGGATCATCTGCTGAGTTGCATTGCAAGAATGCATTGAGACCCAGCGGTGTCTCAGTAAAAAAAGGGGGCTCGTAACTAGACTACCTACCTAGGATTACTTCTGCCGTTATCTGCTGAGTTATGGCTTAAGGCATACGTATATGATGACCGTGTCCATTGCAGGTTTTAGAAAGTTGTGTTTGATTACACTTTGCCGGCTGGGGTCGTAACCGGTGGATGACATCGCACATGATGCGACCAGCCTGGACAGCGTAACCGGAGACCGTCAGCAACACATCAATCTCCAGGGTCGGACAGTACTATACTTGTTTAGTGATGAAAGTACTTGATTTTGAGAGAAGTAATCAAACTGACAAGATACCGATCGGGTCTCGTCCACATCTAATTCCTCGCTGGCAAGTAGATGCTGACTCGAAGTATCTTATCCTTCCTGTAAGTAGTCGCTCAAGGTCTTGTCACATCGAGTCTGCCATACGAGCGGAGGAGACAGCGTCATCAATGCCCACGCAAACCAAGGTGCTTACGTTGTGCACCAGCTCCGTAAAAGGTTGGGCCCTACAGTAAGCAGAAGACGGCTCTGCGACCCCGCGGCTCAGATGACTCTATGGTTTACACAGGATAAAGTTGTACGGTACTGTACATTCAGCCCGGCGCATCGGTTTGGGCCTTTAGTGATGACTCAGCCATAACGGCCACAGTGGACACTTGTCGGGATTGTTTACAGGGGAATTGGTCCAGCGAGTCTAATTTTACAGCATTCACGATCCTTTCGGCTCCGGATTGGGTCTACTGATCACAATGTTGCACTGTACGAATCAAGACGTCCGAAATGGCAATTGCAGGTGGAACCAGATATTTCAATATGCAGGGATTAAGGTCAAGCCCGTTCGCCGGCTGCGGAGTCTTGTTCTAGTCTTCCACCCATCAATCGCTGCTGTTGTTGCTGGAAGCCCGTCCCTCACTCTACCATGGCGCCTCAAACTACTGTTTGCACCAAGCCTCACCCAATTACTTTCGTTAACTAATTCTCATTGTTCAGCAACGTCCAGAATCAGTGGCAGCAGCGTGAACGGCGATTCACAATCAAGCACCCCCAGAATCAACGTTTTGGGCGGGTTTTGGCTGTCCAAAATAGCACGATATCCGGCTTTGTCAAGGACAGGATCCATAGCTGGCCCCAGACTCTGGGGCTTACTCACGTTGACTGACCTCATGTTTTGCAAACATTCTCGATGTTTGAGAAGCCCAACACTGCTATGATGGGCCTCCGCAAACCTCTGGCAATGGCTGTGGCAGCTTGTTTGCAAACAAATTGTGGGATCGGGACGGTGACAATACGAGTCAATGCACTTCATTGAAAGCTACTCGAGGTATCCATATTTGACCTCAACAGCGGTCATTACCCACTGTCAAGCGTGGCGGACAGTACATAGTGAGATCAAGTCCACGTCCAGCATGTGTGGGATCAAGTTCAGAAAGATGGAGTGTGTTGCAAAGAGGAAGCAACATGTGCTCGTTACTACTGTATCGATACAATCCCTTGCTGGCGTTTTGGCCTGTGCCACGCACCAAACTAGTCATGGACTGAAGCAATCTGAGCAAACACCTTGGAGAATGATTCGTATGCAACGTAAAATTGAAGAACGCGATCGAAGCGAATAGAAGTCTGTGTTTCGCATTACGACCAGCCTTTGATTATCCCAACCACAGCGACGTGAGGAGAGGTAACACTTCTTGCCATGGGCCTGCCTCATCACGAAATGCGCACCGCTTAAAGTGGCTGATGCGAAACTGCAATTAGCTACAGTGGCTCATGGATGGAGCCCAGCGGTGCGTTTGTACAGATTTGGCGGGAATGTTCCCAAGAGTCTGGTGCCTTGCTGCCCGGGTTCGGAACCGCGATCAAAGTTCACGTCACTAGACCGCAATCCCTTTTGCGGACTTCATTACACATCTTAGATCCAGGATTTCTAGGCTTAGCCGGGTCTCTTGCACATGAGCTGGCCACATGGCCAAATGGGACTCCGCTCCCGGGTGTCAAACAAACAAGGCCAGCCCACTGAAAGCCGAATAACTGAGGATCAAGCGCGACACCCACTTCGCTCTATGTATTGTCTACAACAATCATTTTTTGAGATGCTTATTCAAAATTTCGTTCTCGCAAAATTTCGTTCTCGCTACTGCACATGGTTTCTAAGCAGTGGATGGCAGTGAGCGCTCGGAGGTGAGTTGCTAGTGAGTGCAGCGCGTTAAAGCGCCCTTCCGGCCCGGCGTAGGCGTCAACTTGGCCCTCACTCGTACGGACACAGGTCCCAGATCCGGTGTTTGTACCTCCAGGAGCCATCTCGGTCGGTGCTGCTCTGGACGTCATTCATGACCCTGCATACTGCCATGCGCTTTTTTATTTAGTTGCTTATATAAATATCTACCAGAGACCTGTTGTGTGACTTGGAGGAACACAAGTCTGAACCCCTCTGTTCGGCACGGAAATGTATCTGCGTTTTGAATCATGGCCAGTGACTCACAAGGCAGATTACACTATCACACTGCATCATGGCCAGGCAGTCGCCCGAGGTCAGCGTTCTGACATGAACCAAAGTCCCCTCAGAGCGTAATTCCGGACTGCAGCGCAGACGCTGCCCCAGTATTGCGAAAGATCGCTGCTTAAGGACTGTGACCAGCAAAGGAAGGGATGGGATGGGTGCAATTTCAATAATGATGCATCGTGGCCTTCGCAAACCACACAAACGTCTGTAATGTTACTGCTCAGGCCATGAGCGAAAACCATTGGTTCCAGGTTGTCGCGGTCAATGATGTTCAGTGGAACTGTGCGAAGCGCTGCCCAACTCTAGATGTCTTCTGCTTAGCTGAGGAGAAGACAGCCAATGAAAGCCTGACATCCGCCCCACAGCTCCCCTGATGGGTATTTAATAGCCCACCTCCTCCCAACATGAGCGCCTGTTAAGGCATGTCCTGACAAAACCATGCCATAGCGCCTACAACCAGACCGTCCCAATCGTCGCAGATGATCATTTCTACCAATACTCTCACCACCATTACCATGGCAGAGTCGCCTGTTAGCTCTCTCTCTCCGGACAAACACCGGTCACAGTACCTCTCTCACGACGACTACATAGAATTGCGAAATTCCCAGGACGAGCATCTGAATGCGGAGCTCGCTTCCATCCGATGCTCCATCGACAACGTCAAGCGGGAGTTGAAAGCCGACATTAAGGAGCTTAGAGACAACGTCACAACCCAAAATCAGCGTCTTGGGCGTCTCGAAGACCAGACCCAACGTCTAGAGGCCGAGGTTCGCCAGTCCCAAGCCTACATGCGCAATAAGGGATTGAAGAATCCAACCCTCCCCATCAGACCTGTTGTCGTGTATCGCCCTGGACATGGCATTCTCGAGCCGGAATCCTCACGATTTCCTCGAAACGCGGACGAGTTTTACTCCCTGAGGGACCCGCAAACTGACCGGCACCGGTCCATGCTGGCCTACCTTGCCGTCTTCTACGACGTCCAACTCAGAAGTGCTGGTCATTTGCCTGAAGAGGAAAGCAACAGCGACGATAGTGACGACGACGAAATCATACTCGAACACCCTGACCTCGTCGTGGAGAAGTTGGAAGATATACTCGGCCTGAATGAAGATAAAATTACCAAGTTCAAGGAGAGAGCTCTGCAAATGGCATCACGAGCGCCATCGAAACCCATCAAACGCTCCCAAATATCTTGGCCTGGAGATGGACCTATTCCTGGCCCACGCCGACAAAGACTCGAATTACGTATCACTGCCGAGAATCAGCCATACTTTTATGATCCCGATCGCCCGAAGAGTGTGTCCTCTGAAGGCTTAACCAATGCACATGTTGGATGGGGTACACGTTCAACGCCTTCCTCGCAAAGGGCACGACTAAAGTGGTCTCCCAAGCTGGCGCACGTGTCCGAGCCACCCAAACCTGAACCAGAGCGACCGAAGTCTGCGTCTAAGAGTACCGAGGCTGAGTCAACAGATACCGATAACGATACACACGTGTTTACGAACTCGCCGGAACGGTGATCTCAGAAGACACAGGCGGTTGAAACCAGTGGCCCATCAGCCAGGCGGATACCGCCACCCCCAGGGTGGTATACAATTGTCGACTCAATACTTTCTACGATGGAGCGTGGAATGGCAATGGTCAAGTCCGCACGGGTTTTGGGTGCATGGAAGGAGGTTTGCGAGCAGGTCTAGGACGTGTGTGAAAGGAGCTGGAGAGTGACTGAGCTATCTTTTCAATGATGAACAGCTTGGCTCTCGGCTTCTTGGCACCGCGGTTACCCTTAGATATATACTGGCATTCGCCCCTTGAGTTCTTCCACATAGTACTTCCGCTGGTCGAGTTTGATGCTAGCAAGCAATGACGGGTGCCTATGGTCGATGTCTGCGTTGCAAAGCGCTTTTGATTAGCATCGGGTTCAACTCCAGGCGCAGCAGGTAGCACAGTTTACCCAGGCTCCGGATTGGCTGGGCAGCCCTAATGGCTGTCGCTACCAGGGGTCAAGCAAGGGGCGTCAGCGTCGGTTGGTGTCTTTGTCTCCCAACTCCGGACACAGGTGACGAGGGCCGTTTGACACCCGTTGTCGGGACAGCATGAGCCCGTTGCCAAGTGTGATGTCTCTGAGGATGAGCATTACGAGTTGGTGGTGTTATCTCGGATGTATCGCTAGTTTCGCCTTTTCCCAGACTCCAACTAGTAGATCCCTGGCGATAATGCTGTAGGCATTATCAACTTGATTGACAGCTTGGGCCCCCCAGCAAAACCCTTTCCTCAAGTCACAGGTCGCGAGATACCGCCTGCCGACCGGGATCTCATTCTTGAATCATGAAGCTGGATCATCGTGAACGTCCCACCGCCGATCAACTCCTGGATGATGGACGGTTTCCCGAAGATTTTGAGGATAATCGAGAGCTGCTGCGCCTTAAAAGAAGAAAAGGTCGTAAATTGAACACATACGGAAGTTCAATGGTCCCGGTATGAAACCCATTCCTGGAGGGAAAACAAAAGCAAGAAACCTTCAGGATGAGGCCAGCAGCCGAGTGCCAAATCCTGATTGAATACTGTCGCTCACCCTGTGCACAATTACCATCCAAATTAATGCGTCAATTAAAGTATTTTCCCAACTTTTGTCATCGACATCAAGTCCTCCCTCCTCGTTGGCTTACGGCCCAAGTTTAACGACAATACAAAGATCATCAATAGCATCATGTTGAGTACCAGCCTCATCCATGTTGACCAATTGTGTGCTCCTTTGATCTTCTGAGCCTAGTCTGGGTGTGGATCCTGATGCTGGACTTGAATTATCTGCATATGGCGATGGGTATTGATATGAATCGCAACTTTGTCGGCCGGCTTCTGATTGAAAAGCAGAAAGGCCGCTGCCCCATTGTGAAAAGCAGGAGCCTGTGTAACTTTCCGCTCCAGTTGCACAGACTGTATTGTTTCGGTCTGACATGCTGAAAGGGTCGTTGGTGTAAATGTTGTGGACCGATATTTTGGGAGTGAGGATGTCTTTATTACATGAAGAATTATTGATTTCGCCATTGAGTAAGGCCTTACCACTTTGTGAAATATAATAGCAACAGGTTAGATTAAGTAATAAACATATTGAGGCAAGCTTGTGAGGTAATTTTTACATCTTCCGGTATTTGGCTCTACGAATCAAGTTCTTTGTACGGAAACTGAGCTTAACTTTCCTGGTCATACATTATCGGGATCTCTAGGCTTCGCTCAGGTCTTGCGCCTTATATAAAGATTCAATTTACTTATAGTCCCTTTCCCCCCAATGCTCAGCTTTGTCTATGTAAAAACTGCGGCGTCGTAATAGGATATGCGAGAATATTTATCGTCCTTCGTAGTAAAGATAATTGGCGTTAATACTACCTAGTACTTTTTGGCTAAGGAGGAAATCCTAAAGTCCGATCTTTTCCGTGCGCAACTAGACTAAGAGCGCGCTTTAGTATTTACTAAGGCCTCTACAGAGTTATATAACGTTATATATCAGTTTTAGCATAAGACGGAAGGACGTTCTTCCTCGCATCTCGGTTTCCCTAGTTAGTTTGCCATGTTTAGTGGGACTATTTATACGACCATGTTTTGACTGTCGACCTAAGCTTGAACAAGGCTTTCGGCTTGTCCGCCCTAGCGCCTAGCTGACCATTGATTGATTGATTGATTGATTCCTACTCGGTTATCAGCCGCTCTTGATTTGATTTGATTATATTGTTACGGCCAGCTAGTCGTAGTGAGTATGTTTGCAGAAGTTAAGGCTGCGATACTAAGTAACAGCGTGTCGTAGTCGTGGATAGCCTCCCTGAAGCTATGTCTGTAAGTCGTGAGGTAGGTAAGGCTTCGGTGATCAATCGTAGTCTTGTCAGAAGGGTTCTCAGTGAAGATAGCTGAAAGTGATCGTGAGATCTGGTACTAAGTTGATTGCTGAAGAAGCTATGGAAAGTCTGTCCTTGAGCCCGGCTCAAGTCCATCCTATATACAAGTCCCGTATACTATCTGAACAGTTCCTTTGTGGTCGGGACCGATATCGCGATGTCGGTCCTACAGGGGTGGACCGATTTGATTTGATTTGATTTGATTTGATTGATTCCTACTCGGTTTTGGCCGCTTTAGTCAGCAGCTATGCCCGGATAGCGGGGTTTGGCCAACAGCCGACGCGCTCCGGATGTTAATCCGCAGCGCCCCACTTCGCCAATGCAAAACACTGACCAGCTGTCTCCAAATCTCCCACTTTGCTCTCCAACCTCTATCTACATTCGGCTGCCACCTCGTGTAGTTCGCGGTTCTCTACTAATGTACACGTATGTCTAGGCTCCATTGAGGTCTTTCTCCTCGTGCAGCGGTTCAGCGTACCTACAGTCTCCCCCCAATGTTCAGCTTAGTCTGGTGTGTGACTCGACCCCGTGTTGCCCAAGGATCTCGGTCTGTTCTATGAATCGGATTGCCTTGGCGGCTGCTTTGCGCTTGTTCAGTATGACCCGGAGATTGTGTCGTCCTGGGAGGGTTCCGAATTCCTGGCGCCGGAGTTGTCGAAACCTGCGGCATCGCAGCAGGATGTGCGATACCGTTTGTCGTCCTTCCCGGCATGGGCAGTTGGCGTTGGTGATGCCCGGTACTCTACGGTTGAAGAGGAAATCCTGGAGCCCGATCTTTTCTGTGCGCATCTGGACTAGGAGTGCGCTTTGGCGTTTACTGAGGCCTTCGTGGAGTTCGAGGACTTTCTTCGTCGGCTTCGGTGTGAGACGGAACGATGTTCTCCCTCGCGTCTCGGTTTCCCAATTGGTTCGCCACGCGTGGTGGGACTGTTTATGCGACCATGTCTTGACTGTCGACCTGAGTTTGAACAGGGCTCTCGGCTTGTCTGCCCTGGAACCTGTCTGTCCGTCTGGCCTCCATCCCGTCGCCTCCTTGGCTGCGATGTCTGCTGCTTCGTTGCCCTGGATGCCGATGTGGGCAGGTACCCATCGGAGCTCGACTTCGAGTCCCTCTTCTCGGAGGGCTTGTGTCTTTTCTGCGATGATCTTGAGGAGGTACGCGCCGGATTTCCCCTTTGGTTTGGCTGACGATCTGATGGCGGCCTGATTGTCGGTGTGTATGAAGATTTTGCTTCGGGAGTTTCCGCCTTCCTTGTCTGCCCGCGCCATCTCGAGGGCCAGAACGATGCCCTGCAGCTCTCCCGCGTAGACTGTCGATGTCGTGTCGTCCCCCATGTGAGATTTCCTGGTTTGCTGTGTGGTTGTGCAGACTGCTGCCGCTCCGATCTGACCGTCGATGCCGCTGCCGTCTGTATAGATGTGGGCTGCGTCGGTGTTCTTTTCCAGACAACGTTCGTGTTCTTTTTCGGCCTGCTTCGTGCTTCCGGCGATGTGGATACGCGGTCCTTGCCACCACGGGGGAGTGATGAAGGTAGGTATGTGCTCGTGTTGTTCGCTGATTGGCCCTTGTCCATCGTTCAGTCGTTTCGTTACTTTCTGTCTCGGACTCATTCTCTTCCCTCCCCGCGGGAGGGCTTCGGCCATGCCTACTCTGTTGATGGTGTCGATGTTGTGTTTCCAAACCTGTTGTTCGACTGGCAGAAGATGCATTTCCACATCTAGTGCTGGGAGCGAGGTTGCTCTGTATGCTCCGCACATTGCCCTGGCCGCTCTGGCTTGGAGCCTCTGCAGTCTGTTTAATGTCCTTTTCGTGTAGCCCATCTCCCCCCAACCGCTGTTGGACCACAGCGAGCATGCGTACATCATCTGTGGTATTGCGACTCCCTTATAAATCGTCCTCATCTCTCTCGTCATCACGCCCCACGTGGAGCTGCCTAGACTGCTGAGTGCTGTGATGGTGTTCGTGACCTTACGTTCTGTCTCGTCGATGTGTTGTTTCCACTTGAGGGCCGAGTCCATGATGAGGCCGAGGTATTTACAGGTTGTCTTTGGCTCGATTTCTCCCCACGGGCTGTGGAGTGTTTTGTCTGTGTCGATTCTGGTTTTTGCTCGTGTGAAGTGGGTAAGCTGGAACTTTTCGGGCGCGAAGACGGAGGCGTGAGTGGAGGCCCATGTCTCGGCTTTCCGGAGCGCTTCTTGGAGCTTCCGGCAGGTTTCCTCAGTGCTGTGTCCTACGGCTAGGATTGCTACGTCATCGATGAAACCGGTGGCTGTCGTATCTCCGGTCTCATTGCAGC